CATGTTACGCATCACAGCCTCGCGGGAGGCTTCAGGAGCTGATGCGGTAAGGGCCGTAGCGGCCAGAGCCTTCCATCATGGAATCACGGAATGGCCTGGATTGCTAGGGACCTTGAAGCTGACCTAGTTCCAGCCCCGCTGCCATGCCATCTTCTGCTAAACCAGCTTGCTCAGAGCCCCATGCCGCCTGGCCTTGAATACCTCACAGGGTCGGGCTGTGTCCCTAGCACCTCTACCAATGTCTTCGCCACCCTCACAGTAAAGGGCTTCTTCCCAATATCTAATGTAAAACTACTCTCTCTGTTTAAAGCCATTCCCCTTCCTCTTGTCACTAGCAGTACATGCTCTTGTAAAAAAACCTCCATCTTTCCTGTGGGCTCCCTTCAGGTCCTGGAAGGCCACAATCAGATCATCCCAAAGCCTTTTCTTTCCCAGACTGAGCAATCCCAACTCTCTCAGCCTTTCCTCATAGCTCCACACCTCTAATCATCTTGGTGGCTTCCTGTGGACTCGGTCTGACAGGTCAATGTCCTTCCTGTGCTGGGGACCCCAGAGCTGAGCACAGTACTCCAGCTGGGATGTCACCAGAACAGTGTCCCTGGGACTGTCACTTCTGACACAGGGCTGACGGGGGAAATGGTGGGATGGAGAAGGTAAATCTCTTGGGCAATGCAAAGTACCAGCACAGGGGACATGTGGTGGTCTGCCCCGCGTCCCTGCTGTCCGCACTGCCTCGCTGAAGCAGCAGCGCCTGCCCTCTGCCCTGCACGACAGCCCCTGGCAGGCCCCAGTCCTGCATGACAGGCCTGTCCCAATGGGACACAGCTCTGGGATGAGCCTGACCCAAGCCCACAGACAGGTTTCTTTCATGAAACCAGCCACTGAGCCTGGGAATAGACTTGGGCCCGACTCTGTTAGAACCTATGTTAGAGGTTCAGCTCTGGGTGCCCTCAGTGTAGCTCCCGGGTTTGCTGAGGCCATGGCTCTGCACTCCCACCAGCTGTGCAGTGTCTGTGCAGTGTCCTCAGCCCATCCCCAAGCAGCTCAGTCCCTGGCTGTGCCAGAGTGACAGTGCAGGGAAACTTCCTCCTGTCCTCCATGCACTCTGGAAACCAGCAGCTTGAAAATTATTTCACTGAGCACACACACACTGCAATGTCTAGGGCCAGGGCCGCGACTTAAGTCTGCCATTTTCAGGCCAAGGACATTTGTTCTCAATCCCACAGTGCTGTCCATCCTAGAACAAGCAGGCCAGGCTGGCACAGGGCAGAGAGAGAGCAGCAGCAGCTCAGCTGGCGCCTGCAGGGATGAGCAGTGTGGATGCTGTGAGTGTGAGCTGCGGGGCTTGCTTGTGACACCCCCTAGAAGATGCTCAGAGATCCAGCCTGGGGACAGGACAACAGGTTTGCTGCTGGTGTGACGTGATGCTCTTGAGACACTGCCCCAGAAAGGCATCACAGTGTGTACATTTCTTATAAAATTACAAAACTAGCATAGGAGTTTTGCTAGACTCACCCAGGTTAGCACAAGCACGGCAAAGTGGTGGGCTTGTTGGCCTTAGGAAGTGTGACACATTTATCAATATGGAATATGGAACAACAAACTAAAAAGCCAAAACAAAACATGTTGCATTCAGTTATTCTAGTATGCTTTATTAACAGGTATTATTTCAAATAAGGGAAATAATTTATAGCAATGTATTGTATGCCCTTCTCCTGGTATGGCTACCTCCATGGTAACTTTTTCTGAGGTATGATCACAGACCTAACCAAAATGTTTCCAACAGGATATCCTTCTCAGTGACAGGCAGCCTTTGGTCAAAATGCAAATCATCACCCTAATCATTTTTTTCTGGGTAACAACCTTGGGTTTTGACAGATCAGTTTAAGCATCTAAATTAAGATCTAAAGTAACACTGAGACAAAGGTATGTTGGAAAAAATGTTACCAAACTTAAATGGAGCTGAAATATCACAAGTGAAACTCTGACATTTGTCCATCTCTAAAGGTAAAGTTCTCTGGGAATAATGTCTGTGTTAAGCACATAAATTATACATGTAGTATATAAATAATAATACAAACATGTTACATTTTGTTGTGTCTCTATAGTCCAATATCTTTTATTGAAGAAAAAACACATTTCTATCCCTTTACAGAGTATGATTCAAAAAATTTTGAAGTATACTCCAAACTTTTCTTTGGCAACTGAAAAGTAAACTCCATTCTATGTCTCTTTCTATTCCTGTTCCACTTTTTGCCCTTGTCCCGGCCATCAGGTGCATTGCTGTTATTCCCCATCAAACTGTGACTTTGCTCTTAACTCTTTGTACTTTTACTCGGTTGGTTATGGTCTGGTGAAACATTCATCTTTCATCCTTGTTGAAATTCCAGGCAAGGGAATATAAAGCTCAGTGGGCCTCCTGAAGTCCTCGGTGCCATTCCTTTGGGCTATTCCAGGTTTTACGTCGCCTTGCAAGACGCGGGAGCCGCGCGTGGCTCCGGGAGAGGGAGCTGTTTCCAAGGATAGCCTTGCAGCCTCTGCTCACGTTAGGAGAGAGCGACTTTCCTTAGCTGTTTATATCACTACTTCTTTCTAGTAATGTGCTTTTAAAAAATCTCCGCATTTCCAAAGGAACTTTCTGATAGACACTTTTCTCATTAGACCCCAAATTCTGCCCTAAATCTAGGTGGAATAAGGATTGGGCTGGGGGTGGTGGGAATACGTGCAGAAATGGGCACTATTGTCTCTCTCAGCCCCCAGATCTCCCTTCTGTGAAGGCCTCTCCTGGGGTCTGTGGTCCATAAAATGTCATTTGTAAAGACAAAGGGCCAGTCCAAATCAGATGAAAATTACACTAGAAGAAAGAAAAGGCTTTGGCCCCACTAAAATTCCTTAAATAGTATTACACAGCCACTGTCTAATGCTGGCATATTGCAGCTGGGAGTGCATGGGCCTTGACAGCAGCTGTTTGAGGATTAAGGAATGGGGGAAGGCACATCAGGGAGAGTTTGGCACCCAGGCACCCTCAGCACCATCAGGGATCTTGAGCTCTCCTCCACAACGGGGCTGTGATACAGCAGAAATAGAAGAAAGGCAGGGAAGCAGCAGACAACAGACAAATCTCAAGATGGAGTGACCCAGGGAGCAGCTCAGGAAAAGCAGTGTCACTCTCCCAGCACCAGCAGCAGGCACTGTGGTGTCATCCAGCCGCCCTGCCTGCCCCACCAAGCTCAGCCAGGGAGGTCAGCTCCTTCTGGGGCTGAGCCAGGTGGGGCTCTGGGGCTCAGTTTGGCAGGGGACATGAGCATGCAGGGAATGCAGAGTACTTGGGGAAAGCAGGACCACTCCTCACCCCGGCCTGACTGTCCTTGCCTGGTGAGAGGGTAGAAGCAGGGTTTCCAACACAGAGGGAGAACTTAATCCAGAGAGCAGTGGTCTTGAAGTTCTTTCACCACTTTTCCCCACTAAAATGCTGACAAGGTTGTGTAAGAAAGCACCAGCTAGAGGTACGAAGAGGTAGAAGAGTGAG